ATTATATTTTTTTTACTTTTTACAGCTTATTATATGACCAAATTAACTGTATGGATTCCGAACAAATATGTTTTTAGTAAGAAGATTTTTGGTCTGAGAAGTGTCAAGAGTAAATGTAAAGTTTCTAACTGAAAACGTTTCACATTACATGTTAACACACTACGGTGTCCCATTAAGTAAGTCTCGGGCGAAGCCGAGACGGGGGGCCGCAGTTGATGGAAGTAAAAATTTTGATAAAAAAAAAAAATGTTTTAAAGAAAACAACGCTAAGTTGTGTGCCGGTTAGAGTAAATTCCAATGGCCAGGCAACTAGCCTTAATCAAGTAACGCTACGTTGTGTGCTGGTTTATCTCAAATTTTACATTAAGTACAAGTTGCTGATGAAATTGTATATGATTTTTTTTGTGTACATTCGCAGTAAAGAATGTAAAAATTGTTGATTAATCACATTATTTGGTGTACTGATGCGAATTGATGTTGTAAGATGAGCGTTTCATATGATTGTTTAAGGTTGCATGCGTAGTACGAGTTTTACGACGGTAACTTGTTTCAAAAGAAGTAAGTTACATGTCACGCAATTGCAGAATCAGGTATACCGCTTGATGGTTCGAGATCGCTGAGCTTTTGCTTTTTATAATTTAAAAACGAAACTCTGTGTTTTGAAGTAATAAATATTAAGTATATGACATGGGATGTCACAATGTCATCCAAAACTAACATTAGTTAAAATTGAAATAGCCTAACAGTAATGTTCGAAAAGTCGTTAGTTCTCGTATATTTAGGAAATTTTTATGAAATTAACTTAAATCTTTTTATTTAGGGTAACATGTTGCAGTTATAAATAAATGTGATCTACCACAATTTTTCATTATAGATTTTGCATCTTGGATTGCTTCTGCAGAAATTTTAGACTTCTGATGTATGTAGATGGAAGTATAAAAATAGCTACAATTTTTTCCTTGTCTCAAAATTTTTAAGAATGTTGCATGTGCTGTGAATAAAAAATACGTCTTATAAACCTTGCTAATATTTAATTCTTTAATTTTTTTGTTTGTTTCTCAAACAATTCAAATGGTTATATTTAATAAAGATAAGAATAAATAAAAAATTGTTGTGTTAACCTTCAAACAACAATGGATCAAAATTTATTGTATTTCGTCTGAAAGACAGTCTGTATATATATAATGATATTACATACTTCATTTTTGTTCTTATTTGAGTAATTTTCCATACAACCAATACTTTATCCTAAATTTCCAAAGGGGAAAAATGATAAAAGCACCATAGTACCGATAAAATGAGATAGTTTGAACATTATGTCTTCCTATATTACATAGTTAAACGTGTGGGCCATTTTTATAACACATTTCATCAAAATGTAAAAATTTTCACATTAAATGAAGTTTTAAAATGTATTTTTACATTGTTTTAAAAATTTATATAGTAATAATATATTAAAAAATGTTATCACACTATAAACTTTATAATAAGGAATAGTGTAAAACTGATTCCAACAAAAATTTTCATGGTTAATAAACTGTACAAATATTTAAAAAAAATATGTGAAAATCATTTTCAAACATGAAACTAATCCATCTGTTTCATGAGCCGTGTGAAAATAATGAATATTGTATGATTCTAACAATTTATATTAAAAATTTAAAAATATATTAAGAATGAAGAAGTAAATTTTCGAAAAATGATTAATTATAAAGACATTAAGTTAATGTACTGTCACGTACGATATCGCAGCTGCACGTATGTGCGCCCTCTCTTTTTGGGGCCTACTACAGATGATTATAGTGGGAGAGAGTGGAGGCTTGAGCAGATAGGATGCTGAAGAGAGCTCTTGGGCTGGAACGGCAAGGACGAAGGTCGTACACACGCGACGTGCTCTTCTCTCATTTTGGCATAAATAAAGTCGTTGATACTAGTTCCTCGACTATTTACTTCGTGCGTCCCCCAAGACTAAAGAATCCGACGCAACAGTTCATAACCAAGTGGCTAAATTTATGCAAAAAACTATATCTTGCATGTAAGGCATCATCAGTTCACAAGGTGCCGGAGCAAAAAGTGTTATTTAAATGACAGAATTAAGTTTTAATGTTATTGCATTATCATACTTGAAGTTAATTGAAGTTTTTATTAATCTTTCGATTTATTATAAATACTATTAGTACTTCCTTGTTACTAGGGGTTTCATGATTAACACGTATTTTAATGTTATTTTATTTAACTGTATGCGAAAGCTTTTGACCTTTTATCGAACCTTTGACCAACTTGGCTTGTCTATTATCGAGTTTGTCGACTAATAATCTCTTTTTAACGATTTACTTATTTATTTGTTTTTTTTTTTTTGTTTATTTAGGAGGATACCATGGCACTTAAAGATTTTTTAGAAGAAGCAGCAATCATGAAAGAAATGAAGCACAGAAATTTAGTTCAACTTATAGGCGTGTGTACGAGAGAACCGCCCTTTTATATTATAACTGAATTCATGAGCAAAGGAAATTTACTCGATTATTTACGTAATGAAAATAAGCATCAAATAAATGCTGTAGTTTTAATGCACATGGCAACACAAATTGCCAGTGGAATGAGCTATCTCGAAAGCCGAAATTTCATTCACAGGTAGGCATCATTCTTAAAAAATTTTGTATTTCATTGATATTTGTAGCACATTAAAGAATGTACTAAAAATTTTTTAAAGGGACTTAGCTGCTCGAAACTGCCTCGTTGGAGAAAGTCATTTGGTAAAGGTTGCTGATTTTGGTTTAGCCAGACTGATGAGAGATGACACTTACACTGCTCATGCAGGTGCAAAATTTCCAATCAAATGGACAGCTCCTGAAGGATTAGCTTACAACAAATTTTCAACTAAAGTTTGTATTGGAAAATTTTCCCATTCTGTAGATTGCTTCAAATTATTTTGATCTTAATTTTTTGAATTAGTTAATATATAAAATTACTTGAATTTTTTAACAAAATCAAAATATTTTACTTACAATTACTATCAGAGCTGTTCATGAATCGACTGCAACTTTTTTCGATTTAACTTTGTTACTGTCTGTATTCCCATAAATAAAAATAGTTTAATGTAAATCAAGATGAAAGAGTTTGCTCTGAACACTCTTTTGAACTGAACATTTTCAGCAAACGTATATTTAACGATTTTGAATATCTTTATATACAAGAGAACATAATTGTTAGCGAATACACAATTTTCTATCGTAAATATTAAACTGTTTTTAAATCAACTACTAATTGCATAAGGTATTAACTTCAACGATTAGTAGGTGTGGCACTTATGTCTACAATACGTTATTTAAATATATTTGTCTTTCGGTGGCTACTATGTCATGATGAAGGGATTGGTCGTTACACATTATAAAAAAAATTTAACATTACGTTTAAGAAAGGTTTAGTACCTTTACATTAATATGTTCTGTCCAGATAAAAGCTCTAAACAAAGACAAAAAAATTATATTGTTATTTTTGTGTTTTATTAAAGGCAGGTTTAAATATTTTGAAAAGTGATGTATCAGTACCATCAAAAAGCCTACATCGGCTCTCTGTTTACAAAAAATATTAAGATGTGTACTAGCATAACATAGAATATTCCTAATAGTTAGAATTGAAATTTGTTGAAGTAAAAAATAATTTGAAGTCGAGTAAGAGAAAATTTTTTAAATAAATTTAAAAAAAAGGATATTATCAGTGATTGACCAAATAAATCAATGATTTAAGTGCGTATTATGTCAGTGTACAGTAATAAATTTAGTTTGGTGTCGTCATGGGCACTACAAGATTGGAAACAATAAAAACATAAATTGTGACTGTGATAACACAGTACACATTAGTGCATATACATGATTGCACTTGTGCGGAGCTCAATAAATACAAGTACTGCTTACATTTATCTATTTCTCACAACACAGTGTTCAATAAAAGTAAATACTAATGAAAGGTTAGGTTAACTTTTACACATTTGTATTACTTTTCCGTGGATTACTTATGTCCTTTAAGCTGTACACAAGTATAAGCATGTAAATGCACTCAAATATGTTGTGTTATCACAGTCGCAATCCATGTTTTTATTTTTTCCAATCTTGTAGTACACGTAATAACACCAAACAAAATTTATAATTGTACACTAACATAATACACACTCAAATCACTTACTAATTTGGTCAATTCACTCTTAATAACCTTTTTTTTAAATTATTAAAAAATTTTCCTATAAAGCTCCATGCATTCTAGCGTGTCGGAAATAAATGATTGATTTTTTAATGTAATTTGTAATGAGATCAAATTATTTTATGAACAATAATTAAAAATTAACACAGAAAATAAGTTATAAAAACACAAATAAGAAAAAGTATTTGAATTTCTTATATCGGGACTGCTCATAGCAGAGTAGATGAGGGCCTAGGCTAGTGTGCTGGAGACTGGAGATTCGAGTCGATTTGGAAACTGTTTTTTTTTATGTGGAACATCTATTGGCGCGCTTGAGGGTTTGACGGACGCGATGGAGCGACCCTTGCGATGGCACGATCTCCGGTTTAACTCTGATCGGTTCGGCTCTCTATTTCTTTCTCCACGCGTTTACTGCCGCCTCTCTCTCGTTTGTAACGTGTACTACCAGTATATATAGCTATATAGAAGAGTATATGCTAAGCAAATATCATACATGTATTGCACATATAAGTACATACGTACATACACATATTATATATCATATATGGGTAAAAAAAATTTTTAAATTTTACGGACTCCGAGAATCGAATCCGAATTGGTTGGTTACCGCTATAGCCTACTGGCCTAGCCACCGGGGTCACCCACTCACCATTTATGTGTAAGGGTGTACAGCTGCACCCATTTTCATCCCTTTTTACTGATATCATACCTGAATCCATGGGCACAGTGTGAGTGTCTCCGGTGAAACACCTTGCCAGTTAAGCTGACACTCTTTGCACCGATGGTGCATTGGCTCCACTCGCTACTGTGAAGCCTTTCCCCGGAGAGGACTCCATATTTCAGGACTTCTACTTCTCGCCGGTTAAGTCGGCGCTCTTTCCCAAAGCATCAAATCCAGGCTAGTTAGCATCCCCGGAGAAACCCCATGTTTCAGGTACCACTTCTCACCGATAAGGCTGGCGATCCCTGCCTGGCGCATCGGATCCGCTAATCCCGACTTATAGCCCTAACACTGTTCCGCTTTTACGCAGTCACAAAGATCTGTGGGGCAAGGAAAAAAACCCTGGAATGACTCTAAAGAAAAATTTCACAGAAAACCCCACTCCGAAACAGCTGGGGTTACATAGGAACTTTTCCCGATAAAAACAATTTTTGAAAAAATCTGCACTCACCGGGAGCTGAACCCACGGCCCCTAGAACAGCATTGGATCAGTTAAAAAATCGCTTACCACTGAGCCAACGCCGCTCTTTATAAAATGTAACTTATTTATTGATTTAAAAAAGTATCTACAACTACATTATCATTATGTAGGAAAAAGCGGAAATCTCTGCAACTCGAGTAAAAATGTGGCTATCTACAAGTTTAAACAGGCGTTCATTATTGGAAGTCGATCTAAAATGTACGCACAGTAAATTTGCGAAAAAAGAATTTCTCTCTTTTACAAAAATGTAGGCTTCATCTGTAAATTAGCTAATATTCCAAAAATTTTTTACTCTTTACGTGTTTAGAAATGTTATGAATAAATTTAATAACTATTTTTAAAAACACGAGAACAGAGTTTTAGCAAGTAAAATAATTGAATAAATGTATATAATCATTACGAAAAACCAAAAATTTGGTAATTCAAAAGTAACACTCACAGGTCCCTCTGGTCACAAAATAGCTTTGAAGACAATGGCACTTATCAGACGAAAACTACTATTTCTATCATAGACAATCAAATACAACCGAGTTCAATAACATATTCTGTAATGTTTCATGTCTTTCGTGGGTCCTGAGACCCACACCTAGTTTATCTATTTATTTTTTTTTTAAGAATTGTTTAGATGGAGAAAGACATAAAATTCATAAAATTCAAAATGTGTGGTGTCGTGGCGTTATGTGAAGTAAAGGGGACTGGAGGACGAGGTGAAGAGGGGAGAATCAAGCAAAATCCACTTCCATCACACTTTTTCTCGAGGCCAAAATCTGTAATCTCGAGGCCAAATGTATATCCATTCAGACAACTTCTTGCTTTGCCCTTTAGTCTTAAAATCACAAATTTTCAATAAAAAGTTCTTGAGCAAAGTGGGAAACCTTCAGTTTTCAATGTCTTACAAAGAATCTCCAGGTGGTGCATTTTGGCCAATGTATACAGGTATGTGTAAGAAGGCTTGATTGATACGAAAAGCTGAATTATTAAGGATGTTTTTGTGTGAAACTTCAAGGAATTCTAGTGATTTTCCGGCTTTGGTTGCCTTATTATGTTGCTGCAATAATTTTACCCTTGTAGCATTCATATAACGACATTGCTACCAATACAACGAAGGAACATAAATGATGTTGAAATAAATGAGAAAAACTTGGAATCTTTATCACTTTTCAATATTCTAAGCCTACAGAAGTAACGTTTGAACAAAATGGTATGTCTAGGTCATTCTACAAAAACCTGCATATTTTAATGGCTGGAATGGACAAATACACAAAGTGAGTTTGAATTTTTTTTTTCGTGTTAACCATGACAAAAATACTTAAAACTTTTTGGGCCCTGATAAATCTGTACGAGAAAAATTTTTGCGACGATTTGCTTATTTTATTTAAGAAAAATTGGAGCTTTACGGGTTTTTATTAAATCTTATTATAACTGTGATAACTGTGCTGTACTTACATAAAAATTCGAATTCTTTGTTTCATTTTTATCATGTACTAACCATTTATATAACTACAAATCACTATCTCAGTCGATAATCCAACATGAAACAAAGATAATATTCACTGAATTTTTGCTTGAATACCCGTGCAACATTGTTAATACACAAGATATTAAAAAATGAAATTATTAATAATAAAACAAAATTACTTTTGTTATCTTCCGCAATACTTTTATTTTAAGTGTACAGCTGACAGCTGTTTCGTCAGTTACGTCGTTACTAGAAGTTTGACGTATACTAATCTAATGACGGTAAAAATGAGTATGTAAAGGTAATGAGACTAATATTTATAAACTACTTTCTTACAAATATAAAAATATTCATAAATAGTGTTACAGGGTCTTGAAAAAAAAGAGCTTTACGGGCTCTTATAATTCCGCCGAAAAATTCATATTGTTACACAGTGAATGAAAATTGAACTTTACCCTTAAATTTGTATTATACAAAAAACATCTTTATTTTAGTGTATCCCCTTCCGAGTCAGTCGTCTAATATCTAGCAGTGATATTCTAGATTCTTTAGCGCTATGAGGTCTTAACAAATGAAGTTATAAGGCTGTTACGGGCTTTTATAAAATCGTATTAAAATCGAGATTATAACGTATCAAAGTATGATTTAATTTTTACTTTGCACTTATATTTTATTATATACATAGCAGCTGTATTACAACTCATAACCTTAGAAGTCGATAACTAAACGCTTCGTGAAGTACAATTACATTCTTTAGATTCCTAATTTCATGACATTCTTTGAGTAGGGGTTTGTAGGGGCTTATAAAGGAGATGTACGTAAGATTCTACTTACACAACTGTATAATATAAGGAGATACATACACTCCTCATTAGGTATATACAGTGGAAGTTAATATAAACTATTATATATATGAGGTATTCTTTCTGAACGAATGACCCCCTTTTCTTCAAAATAGATTTAATTTATTTAAATTCTATAGGTAGTCAAAAAAAAGGTCTGAGCATCTAGTTTTCAATACCGA